TAGTCGGAAGTTATGTTGATGACATATTAACATAGCAAGGATGTAAACAAATATAATAGACTGAATACTGTAAATATATACCTCGTGCAAAAGAAAATTCTTCAACATTTATTGTGACAACTGTTCAAACAATCAGAAACAAGTGATTGCATAATGAGCAAACGATGATAGGAATAAAATAAGTAAAGCTCAGTTAATAAAATATGATCACTAATCTAGAAGATAGTTGAAATAAAAACTCAATCATGTAATAAATGCAAGAAAAAGTTGAAAAAGTTTAAGATGCAACGAAGGAATATTTGTCATTAAGACAATGAAAGATTAATCACCATCTCGTTTTGAATATATAAATCATGTTTTGGAAGCTTAATAGCAACGGCTTCAGCAAACTTCAGAAAATTGGAGTTTGGCTGCTTATTGACCACTTTGAAAGATTTCGAGGTATCAACCTGACATCCTGTGTCAAGGAGATGTTTGGTAATTGCACTGTTTAGAGTAATTCTTCCTCATGTTCCATAGCTTTTTGGAACATGTTCAAAAATCTAAGATATGCCCTCCTTTATATTCGACCAATGTAGCTGTTTAAGCAGGTACACGTAAATTGAACTATTAAAATTATTACAATCTCCACAAATCCCATTCTGATAATAATCATCATGTGCTCACTAATGACTGGCTCCAAGAAGATTCCCTGGAGTTCTAGTGAGAATCTGTGACCAGTGGAGTTCAACCCGTGTCGGGTAGAGACAGGTATCTACCTCAGTCAATCGATGAATGGTTGCGCAGTCATTTATGGATCGATAGAAGTTAGACACCAACACCGTTGGATGCCGGTTCAGTGGTCTAGAGGTCAAGCGTTTGCACATGTGATCGAAGGTCCTGGGTTCGAATCCCGCGTGCGGGATAATCATAATATCAAAAGATTTAATTCTTTTCTGATACACTTGATATAACTTTAATTTATTGTACAATGTAGTTGAGAATATCAACAAGTATTTTGATGTGTTAAGTGACTCATATGAATAATGGGTTCACTTATGATATGACAGCATATTATTAAAGTCATATGGTCAGGCAATGATTCTTTTCAATAAAAATATCTCCAGTTTTTCTTTTTACATAGTCTTTCAAGTTCATAGCTTCAGGTATCAAAATGAAGATCTCATTTACCCATTGAACATTTCAATTATGTTTTATGTGAACAAACTATGTATATATAATAATGAAAACGTTTGATCGAAGAAAATTTTCTTTTCGGCGATATCATTTCCAAGTAAAGAAAATCACATATAAATATGATTGTACAGCTTAAAAAACAAAGACGTTGAAGCTAAAAATTTCTAATTCTCTGAAACGTCATTCCATTTATGCAGAACAATGCTAGACTATTACACTTTTCAGAAATATAGATTACCTCAATCTCTTCAGATTAAGTTGCTAGAGAGATTTCAGAAAATAGTGCTTGAATATTTCAATTTTATCTAGTAGTAATCGAAGAAACATCCTACAGTAAATAGATTGGGTTATCCGGTATATTAAATAAATTATTCTGACATACATAAAAGCATATATTTCATTTTCAACAATCAAAATTCTCATCCCAATACATTCTTAACATCTCAACAGTACACTCTTTAGTCGAAAACTAAATTTACAACAACAACAACAACTACTACTACTACTACTACCACTACTGTGGTGTATGTTACTTATATTGACAGATATAAGTAGTATGTAGCACCAACCGGAAGTGGAGTGAATACTAGCAGAAGATTGAAAAGATCCAATTGAAGAGAACAGAAAGGGAAGCAGAACGTAATTTTCACAACGACAGAATTGAAAGAATCATGAAACTTGTAAAGGATAACTGATGGAGGATGTGTAAATTATGTATTCAGTGTATAAATGGATAGTGCCTCGCAGTGGAATCCAGAACGCACGTTTCGTTCTATTTTGAACTCGTCAGCTGGATGTACTTTCATCCTTGAGTTTATGTTCACTCCGGGACTCGAACCCAGTACCGTTCGCTTCAAACGCCATCGCGTTTATCCACTTAGCTACTGTATATAATGTATAGTTTTCATATTTTACGAAATCACTCTATAATTTCTCATTGAACAATAACTTGGTCTTCCCCATCTGAATGTTTGTTTACTACGCTACTATTATTACTAATACGACTACCATTAATAGTAATAATTATAATAATAACATGGTGACTGGTTTTTCAATCATTTATACTTGATTAGTGGTTGAATTGAATCATATTAACCTTAAAATATTTCATTATGTTAAAGCAAAATGATATATAAAAGGAAGAAAAAAGGAATATACGTTCCACTAAATTCTCATCAAGATTCTCACATTTAAAACTCACAATCCACTTAGATAAAAAGGAATAGTTAAATTTAAGACAGAATGCATGATTAACTGAAATACAAGTTATGAATTTACATATCGTAAATAAGAATAGACTTTATAGGTTGTATAATCGAATGGTCTTAACAAATCTACCACTGCAAAAACGAGAGAGTACTGAATAGCCGTTGCAGTCTAATATGGAACCCACTAGAGTTGCGTCAGTGATTGAATCTGCGATCTTCGAGTCTCAGTAATCTCTACAAACCTCTTATACTCATAATGATCATGTGATCACAAGTGACTAATTTTGATAGGTAGTTTCTAAAGATCTAGTGAAAAGCTATAACCATTTAGGGTGTCAGGTAGTTACACACTAATGGGATTAGGAAATCGTGGATTAACTGAAACTAAAAATATGAAGCATTTAATGTTAACTAGAGATGGAAAGGAAATCCCGGATTCGATCTCTGATAAGGTTGTTGGTGGATAACATTAAAGAGTTCCATATTATGTCGAAACAGCTGTACAATGCTTGCTAGTTGTTTCGTTATATTCAATTTGCAGCTTAAAATATCGAATTCAACAATATCCACTAACCTCCTTTGTTAGCATAAATGACTTTGTAAATATTTGTAAAATACTGAAAATAATACGTTTATGATGATGATATATCTAAAAATATACTGTTATTGAAATACAACATGATTGCTATTCTTTATTACAAACTGATAGTTCCTGTAAAACCATTAAAAGTACGAAGTACTGAACAATTCGTTTTGTATATAAGCATAAGATTCTTGAACAATATGCACTTACGATTATCGAATCGATGCATAAAAATAAATATATTTAGTCCTTTTAACGATTCCTCTTAATTTTTCAATAGTTCCTATTAGATATAGATAAAAAAGGATATGAATGATCATTCCTTTTTCACTGTTCGAGCGTAATATATAACATTTTCGAACATTTGCTTTTCAGTTAATGGATCAGTATTGCATATAAGGGAATTCATTTCAGTCAACATAAGCTATCTTCATATGCCATCTATAAAGATGCTAGTGTAGAGCATAGCAGCTTACCCAATGAACAAGCAAATTAGATGGAATTCGGAGTTTTAAATAAAATTCTCAGTGTAAATTATGCTCTTATACGAAATATTCATTTATTAAATGAAGGGTAGAATGTAAGATATTGCATAAGCACTGAACATTAAGGAGCAGATGAGCTATGAATTTACGTAAACGTATCCTATCCCAATCTTTTTCTAATTCATCATCTTTTTCTTCACTTTTCTACTCCCTCTTTTCATATTGTCCCTTCATCCTCTTTTCCTTCTTCTTTGCCTTTGCCTACCTATTTTCTCTTTTATCTATATTCGTTTTGCTTTCAATTCCAGTACCGAGTGATTAAAAATTCTTTCTCTCACGATCATTCACTACTGTTTACATAAAAAAACTACTTGTCATTGCCATAACTATTTCCTCTTACTCACTTTTTTTCTTGAATCATTTCTAATCTTAATTTTATGGTCAATGGTGTTGGGTTGATTTCCCTTATTTTTAGGAAGACGGAACCATTTTTTTCTGGTTTTTCATTTCCATATTTTTAATTCAAATTATTATCATTAATTAAAGAGGAAGAAGGTATTTGTAAATACTGTGAAACTAATATTATCTATGATTAAGTGGTTAAAATATTTGCAGAAATACTAAGGGAAATGACCAAATACATACACACACACGCACATGTAAATATACGCACATACACATACAAATAGATCTACAATTGAAAATTTGGATTCAATGTGAAATTAATAATGATAATAATAATAATAATAATAATAATAATAATAATAATAATAATAAGGAACTAACAATGATAATGACAATTTATGGAAACATCAACCAATCATCCAAATTAACGCCAATAAACTAACAAAAACCTATTCATGCTAAGCCGTGTTTCAAGTGTTTTCATTTTATTTATTGAGGTAAAAGATAGATTTAGAAGAAAAAAAAAGAAAAAAGACGGATTCAACACTCCATAGAACATTTAGGTGTTCAAAGAAAATGATGGATATTTAATTTAGTATTTGTTTAGATACCACTTGTAATTTATTGTAATTAAAAGGGGAATAAAGTGAAGCTTCTCTTTGTTTTGTATTTCTTAAAGGAAAAAAAAGGTCTATATCATTTGGAGAGGGGGATGTGTTGATGAAGATAAAGATTAAAATATCTTTTGACTAGTTAAATGTTAATTGAAGAAATAATCCACTTTAACATAATCTGACCATTAAATATTTTCATTGAGATAATCATCAATGTCATATATGTATTACTCTTCAAATGACAAATTCATCTTCAAATTTCCTACTTGAAATAAATTGGATACCTGAATTGGTTTTTATGATCAGAGAGATTGAACGAAATGTGGATGGAAGATAATGAATCTTAAATGATTTTTTTCATTTTTAGCAAAATACTTTGAAAAAATTTCTCCATGATAACATATTTCATTATTACCATCACTATTAATAACACTAAAAACAAGACAGATAATTATATTTATTACTTAAATGATTATTTTGATAGCGACCAAATTTTTAAAAGGAAAATCAACTAGTGTAGGTGATAGCATTATGCAATCGATAAATTACATGAGAGGCGTTGAGAGACGGAAAGAAACAAATTGACTAGACAATTCATCAATATAACAAGGCAGTTGAAGTGTTCGTTGTAAAGTAGGAGTGATATTGATGATGATGATGATGATGATGATGATGATGATGATGATGATGATGATGATGATGATGATGATGATGATGATGATGATGATGATGATGATGATGATGATGATGATGATGATGATGATGATGATGATGATGATGATGATGATGATGATGATGATGATGATGATGATGATGATGATGATGATGATGATGATGATGATGATGATGATGATGATGATGATGATGATGATGATGATGATGATGATGATGATGATGATGATGATGATGATGATGATGATGATGATGATGATGATGATGATGATGATGATGATGATGATGATGATGATGATGATGATGATGATGATGATGATGATGATGATGATGATGATGATGATGATGATGATGATGATGATGATGATGATGATGATGATGATGATGATGATGATGATGATGATGATGATGATGATGATGATGATGATGATGATGATGATGATGATGATGATGATGATGATGATGATGATGATGATGATGATGATGATGATGATGATGATGATGATGATGATGATGATGATGATGATGATGATGATGATGATGATGATGATGATGATGATGATGATGATGATGATGATGATGATGATGATGATGATGATGATGATGATGATGATGATGATGATGATGATGATGATGATGATGATGATGATGATGATGATGATGATGATGATGATGATGATGATGATGATGATGATGATGATGATGATGATGATGATGATGATGATGATGATGATGATGATGATGATGATGATGATGATGATGATGATGATGATGATGATGATGATGATGATGATGATGATGATGAGAAAATAAAACCAAAATAAAGACATGACGCTAAAAATTAAGTGTTTACTCATATTGCATAAGTCCTAGTTTCACCTCCCTCTTTTCGAAAAAAAAGACATATTGAATAGGAAAATTTGTAGTTTTTGTTGAATAGTTTCGTGAGTTCTTTATTTTGTGTGTAAAGAGGCAGGATGAGGAATGTATTTTTTCAATTAGTCAATACATTTTGGCTAGAATATGAATAACATAATCATGATAACGAATGCTTATAATCGAATCTCAATATTCTATGATGTAACTGATAATTTAATTTTCATAATTTTTTTACTTATGTACTAATTAATAACTGTTAATAGAATAATGATTTTTTTCTATGAAATCTGAGTTCACATGCTTGTTTGAAGTCATTGATAACAATCATTATTAGTATTAGTATTAATGATAATATTACTATTTAATCACATATCTGAGAAAATATTTCTTCTTTGGTGTAAATGAACATTTAAATCATTTTTGGGATCGTGTCTTACGGTAGAATTCTATTTCAGAGTAGTTACATTCATGTCCTCCTTTCACTATATTAATGTATTACATGAAAACTTGAATCAAGTGCTTAACAATGCATAAGTGAATCCGATTAATCACTAAAAAATCTAAAGTTACATTTATGAGTATGATTATTTGTTTCTGTTATAACTTGTGACCGCCGATTAATATGCAGTGACTTATCGATCGGATCAATAACGCTTAAAGCACGTGCGAGCAGCCTAGAGTCCTGATTGGCCCTGCTTCCTACCTAGCCCAGCCAGTTAGGTCCAGAACATAAGTCTCAGCCTCTGAGATATGAATAATTATATTTCAAACATACTGAGTTTATATACCAATCAAACTGACCACAACGTACCAATAAAATATGAAACAACATTTTGTACAAAAATTATCAGATTTGTATGTGAATGAGGGAGGCAGTGACTAATAGACAGGGAATAATTCAAGAATGGAAAATCGTATAATAACAGTTTATAAGTTAAAATATGATTCGTTTAGTTAATTAGAAATTATACGGTAAAATATACGTATAGTATTGGTCCACAAATGGATCCCAAAATTTACCACTCATTATTCTTATCGGGGCATAAACAGTTTCGTTGTGAATATCAGAGAATGCAGTTGATTAGTCTTTAATGATATACATTCATTTTGAATTGAATTATATCAATAATGGTTTTAGCTACGAGTAAATTTCTACTATTTATCATTATTCTAGAGTCATTGTTCCACCTTTAGTAAACTCTATCAAGTATCTTGATTTAAAGCTAATTAGTTACAAATCTGTATGTGTTCCAAATTTGTTAAATTTTACGAAACTGTTAAAATAAACTAATCTTTATTGATTAATCATTAAGTGTAGCAAATGTTAAAGATTTAAATGGATTCAATACTTAATGTTTGATTCATTTAATCATGTGTAACTATTTCCATTATCGAAACAATCTGTTCAGGATGGTCGAACATGAATAGGAATCGATTGATTTCAACCTTTAATGTTAATAAAAGGATTTTTTTGTTTATCCATTTCAATATTTATTAATACTTTGAAGTATTTATTAGTACTTTACAAAACCTCTTAAGTATGTTGTAGGTTTTATGTTGATCCGAAATTTTTTAAAAATGATTCTTGTGCAGAATAATGAATAAAGGTATTATCAGCATGAAGAAACATGTATCGCATCTTTCATTTTTCTTCATACAAAGAGAATTACATGTTTAGTTTCTCGATACAATTCTGTATAAACTCTCTTGTTTGCACTACTAGATTATTATTATTCTAGACATTTTTTGTGTGTGTATTACTAACTCAATCTTGTTTTTTATTTGTATCAAGTAGATTGAAGTGAGGTGGTAAAAGAGTAATTGACAGACAAGAATGTAATCGTCAGATGTTAATTTGTTAATTCAAACTGGATAGTTTATGCAGTAAACATTGAATAGTATTAAATAAAAAAAGATTGAAATTACATGACGAATTATTGTGTTTTTCACCTAATCTTTTTTTGTATTTTTAAATACTCTGTGAAACATGAGAATTAACGATTGATATTATATGTATAGAAGGTTTATGGAGCTTGTTGAATCTTCATAGGTTACAACATTCATTGACCTTACTTAGTTGACCATAGAAAACCAGGAAGTATTGGATAGCTATGTTGCACTCCTCAATTGTAATACAGATCTATGACCCTATCATAAGAAATCAAACCCAGGACCTTAAGTTTCACACCCGAATATTTAACCTCTAGAGTACCAAGTTGGCATCCGACAGTATAAATATCTGACTTAAAATGGTTTATGATACTGTGAGACCATTTTTTATTTCCCACAGTTGATTACTGTCGTGGACTCAAACTTGTTCACTAGTGACTACACGATTATATATATATAGCCCATGGGTGAAGTCAAGGAAGCTGTAAGAAGCTCAGAAAGAGCCGAAGGTATTCTACCCAATCATCTTTTCGAAGGATATTCCAGAATCTCTACGTGTAGCTTCCTCGTTGGATGTCTGTAATGATGATTTCGTTTTTAATAAAAAAATTATAAATACCTGATAGTTTTGTATTATACTTGATACTGTTTAGAATAGTATCCCTTTCGCTTGTCTTCAGTCTTCTCATTTGTGACTTGGAGGGTTCTAGCGTTTGACTGCTCAAATTATACACGGTATATTTATATGAATACTATTCATTTTCATTTATAAAAGAACTAATATTAATTAAAATTCTATTTACTCCAAAAAGATTAAATCTTTATTGATCCATATCTTAGGCAATTAGAAACATTTATTTCCATATAGTGAAATCAGTTGTTGCATTATTGATATTATGTAAGTCAGTATTATCGTCAATAACGTAGCTAGTTCATTTGATTTTATACTACAGAAAATCAACGACGTCCAGAATATCTTAATGACTATATCTCCGATTATGACACTGAATGATTTAGTTACAAGTTAGTGTGAGTAAATCATCCTTCAATGACAAAGACAGATGTTAATGAATAGTACTATTTAGCAATGGGACTTATGGTCATAATTTCTTAACGATCACCTTTAACAGTTGAATTTATGTGTATCTAAGCTAGACCATCATAGAAAATCTGAAAAAATTGAATGGATGTCTCACCCTAGTACGGGAGTCCTTAGCAGTGTGCATCCACAATCTCGCGCACGGGGATCAAACACAAAAGCTCCGGTCTCACGTGCGAACGCTTAACCTCTAGACTACTGAGTTGGCTTTTTGACTTGTTCAATCATATCAATCACTTGGGCATCAGTGAAATTAGGATCTTGAAAAGGAATATTTGACTTTAGTTATTTAAATTGACTATGCTCATTATAAAATTTAAAAAAACCTTTAATTGAATCTCGTACTAAGTAGTGTGTACATACTGAAAAGTTGCCCTAAACTAATAAAGAAAATAGCCAGAAATGCTTATTGGCTTTGTTCAAGGAATCTCTAATTAATATTATAATGTCGGTTGATATATTAAGCCCAAATAATTATTCCGGACATGTCAGTCTATTGATTCTTCTTGAGTCTCATTTTTAACCTTTTTAATTATTCTCTTATTGACCTTGAGTGTTTTTATGTAAGCGTATGTGTACATTTCCTATCCCACTCATCACATGTTTGCAGCTTATTCGTATCTCACTATAAATATCGATTAACGCTTGATTAAATCGAGTTGACTTACACACCTCCACTCAGCATCATTTCGCTTTGCGCTCTTCTCTTCGCTTCCTTTGCTTCGTCCATCTGATTGTCTGTCCAGATCGAGTGTACAAAATATACGTATTCGAAACTTAATTCTCGTATTTTGACTTATTTAATTCGATGATTACATACGAGGATTGTGGACATGTATATTTCAATAGCAATCAATCATCCGATCTAATTGGAGTCAGATAAAGGGTCACTAAAATATCAGTTCTTAATTTCAAAAAAAGTTATCTTAAAACAGTAAATATTATTTCTATAAAATTCTCATAGCAAGAAACGTATATTTTTAGATTTTAATATAAAGAGAAATAATACATTTATATATCAGAATGGAGTTTTTTTGGAAATTGTAGTAATTTTATAATTGAATTCATGAGTCAATTAAAACTAGACCACTATGGAAAACATAGAAGCACTGGATGGCAGTTTCGTCTAAGTATGGGACTCCAAAGCAGTGCGCACCCATGATTCCGCTTCGCGAAATTTGAACCCAAGACCTATTAATTTCGCGCACGAACGCTTAACCTCTAGACCATTGAGCCGGCATTTAACAGTTTTAATGCTTAACTTCAACCAATCCAAGAAACTGAGGCATCGTCCATCATTATCTTTAGTGAGTTATTATCTTTCAGGTTTTCTATGGTGGCCTAGCTTCAATTCATTCATGAATTCAACTATATATATATCTTCATTCAACATAACTAAAACAATTACATGTGTATATTACTTATAATGAGATATTACGTAATTGTGAAATTGATCTGTTTGAATAGTTAAATAATAAACTATTAAAAATAACATTATGTAAACAATGTGATCTAATGTTCAATAAAGTCTGGTTATTATTTTTTAAAGAAAACAATCTCTAAGAGTAAATTGTTAAGGAACATTATTTTAGAATCGAAATACTTATGTAGACTAATTCAGATTGAAAATGATTTTCATCAAAGAATAATATGAGTTGGAACTATTGAAAACACCAAAGAGTACTAATAGGGTATTTAGTACAATATAATGAAATTCATTAAAAGAATTTTTTAAATTAAATTACAGTATGTCGACTGAATCGAAAGTTTATTATCGTTAGTAAAGGTGAATATTGTTTTTTTCTTATTAATATTCATTATTACACTTGATCAATCTCTGTTAATATATAGAATCTTTGATCTAACATCTGAACACTACTTGAAGTTGTGGTTTAATATCTATCTCTTCCAATGTAGGAACGTAATATATATATATGATATATCTTCGTGGAAATTGTTGAGTTCG